AGCTGCTCATTGCGAGGGTGGGCTTTTCCTTTCCTGGGCGGATTTTCTGTTTTTAGTCGTGTCGCTACTGATGTTTGAGTGGTTATCTTAATATTATTGGATGGAGCCGCACGGAAATAATCTGCTCCCAGTGCAGTGATTATGGACTGCCGGGAAAGTGACTCTCCTCATCCTCAGACAATAAAGAACCTTAGTTATTTCTTGCAAAGCAATGGTTACTTCCTGGGCAGCAGATACGCTGACTGTTTAAAAAAAAACAACCAGGAGGGCCCCCCTCCCCAGGCTGAGCCAGGAGAGCAGAGGCCAACGAGAGCCTGGGGACCCCGCCCCTGTGCTTGGACTCGGCGAGCTCCTGGGTGAGGGGACAGGGCCTGGGCACAGGCTCTGCTGAGAGGATATGGGCCAGAGCTCAGGGTGCTGCCAGGGGGGGCCGGGGAGGCAGACAAGCCAGGCTCAGACCAGGAGGGAGGACCCCGGCCCCAGCTGACCCCACGCGGGTCTGGACTTGCTGGGCCTCCCAGACCCCAGGATTGTGTCTCCTCTGCAGGAGGGAGTGGGGGAGGAGCCGAGCTGGTACCTGCGGCCTCTTGATGCGCGTGTAGGAGAGCAGCGCCTCCACGTAAGGCTGTTGCAGAGCCTCCACGCGGCTGGGCTCCTGCACGTTGGGCCGGTCGGCTGAGAAGATGTTGATGGCGATGAGGAGGGCGTACTCGGCGTCGTCCAGGCCCAGCCGCCGCATGGCCCGGGAGAACTCGAAGATGGGGTTGATGAACTCCACCTGCAGGCCTGCGGGGCGGGAGGCGGAGGCCCCCCCGATAAACACGCCGCCCGAAACCGGCCCCCACGCCCGGCCTGACACTGCCCAGCGGGATGAGGAAGACAGCGGCCGTTCTCGTGTTCCCGTCACCCCCGCTCGCCCGTGTCCCCACTGCCTGGAGAGTGCCTGGCACGGAGTAGCTGTGCCATAAACCTGCCCCGAGTGAGGGAACGAGGACCGAGAGCTGCCGTTTAGGCAGCAATTGCTACACCATCACCACCTGCACTTCTCCTGGGCTTCTCGGGACCTCTCCGCAGGAAAAGGAGAGTTTGAAGCCCAGGTCACAGTGTGTCACCCCCTGCCATGGCTTCCACTGCTCTCAGTGGAACTCATTCCCAAGAGGGACTCATTCATTCATTCATTCATTTGTCAAACTTCCTTGGGTACCTACTACATGCCAGCGGAGAGAGCCATTTACAAGACAAAGTCCGTGCTCTGTGGAACTCACATAGGGGCTGAGGGGACAGTTAACAGACAGATACGTTGCCTCTCCAGCCTGTGAGGTGGCGGTGATGTCTAGAGAGCAAGCGAATGCTGGGAAGGGTAAGGGGACCACTGAGAATCATGTCAGCATCTTGGACAAGGCGGTCGCCTGAGGGGGACGCTGTGGGAGGGACTCAGTGGAGGGGGACCTTTGAGCAAGGACCGGAAGGAGAAGAGGGAGCGAGTTATGAGGAAGTGAGTGTTCCAGGTGGGGTACTACCATCTGTTCCGCCCGAGCCTGCGTGGCTTTTTGGGCCACGAGACATTCAGTGTTAAAACTGGGAAGGCCCTGCGGGCGTGGCTCTGTTGGTTGTAGCATCAACCCGGGGTTTGATCCCCGATCAGGGTGTGTAACGATGGATGTGTCTCTCTCCCTTCCTCTCTCTCTCAAATCAATAAAAACATATCCTCGGGTGAGGATTAAAAAAAAAAAAAATTGGGGCCCTAACCGGTTTGGCTCAGTGGATAGAGCGTTGGCCTGTCGACTGAAGGGTCCCAGGTTCGATTCCGGTCAAGGGCACATGCCTGGGTTGCGGGCTCGATCCCCAGTAGGCGGCGTGCAGGAGGCAGCCGATCAATGATTCTCTCTCATCGCTGATGATTCTATCTCTCTCTCCCTCTCCTTTCCTCTTTGAAATCAATAAAACTATATTTTAAAAAAATTGGGGGGAAAAAAAACCCAGAAAACACACACAACACACACACACACACACACACACACACACACACACAACACACACAAACGGGGAAAATTGGGAAGGAAGCCAGGATAAGCTGATACCCTAGTTCTGGGCAAAGGGACCAGTAAGTACAAAAGCTCTGAGGCGGGAGTACCTTTGATGATTCAAGTAAGAAAGAGGAGAGAGGAGGACAGGAGGAGAGTGAGTGAGGAGAGGGGGCAGGGGATGAGGAAGGAGGGGGCATGGAGCCAGACCCTGCAGGCCCGTGGTACACTTTCCTCCCAGGGAGACGGGAGCCACGGAGGGTTCAGAGCAGAGGGACGCGAGCCGATAGGGTGTTAATACTGGGCAGGGGTGGAGGTGGGAGACCAGTGAGGGACCCCTGCCGTGGGCTAGGGAGACAACGGAGGCCTGGACTGTGGCAGTGGCAGAGGATGGGGGGGTGGGGGGAGTGGGGGGACCCCAACCTTTCCTCCAGCCTTATGTCTGTGCTCCAGCTGCCAAGGCTTCCTTGTAGTTCCCTAAAACTGCCCAGCTCTTCTCCACCTCAGGGCCTTTGCACATGCTGACACCCTCCCCGCTGTGCCCTGCTGACAACCTCCTACTTAAAGGGTGACTGACTGTCCTGGGTGATGGGAGGGCCGCGCGTTAGAGGAAGGGAAGAGGGGGTGAGAAGCAGACACCGGGGAGTACAGACAGGTGCCCCTGGGAGAGCAGGACTTCCTGAGAAAGACCAGAGGCCGAGAGAGAGGCCTCTGCACCTGCGGTTCCTCGTGGACAATGCTACTCCCACCCCCCCACCCCCCTTTTCCTAGGCGAGGCCTCTCAGCCCTCAGCTCACCTGCACTTCCTCCACAAGCCCACGCCCCCAAGTTAAGTGCTCTGAGAGAGAGGGCAGGGACTGGGTTGCCCTACATAGCTGCGTAGGCTGCACACTTCACAATGGACTGCGAGCCAGCCGCCCTCGGGTGGGACCGGGCTGTGGGTGGACAGAGTGTCTGTCGAGCCCCACCAAGATGCCTTCTGGGATAGCAGGGCCCTCTGTCTCCTGCTGCACTGCGTCCCAGTGGGCAGCGTCAACCATCAATACACATGCTCTTGCCCTAACCAGTTTGGCTCAGTGGGTAGAGCGTCGGCCTGCGGACTAAGGGTCCCAGGTTCGATTCCGGTCAAGGGCATGTACCTTGGTTGCAGGCACATCCCCAGTAGGGGGTGTGAAGGAGGCAGCTCATCAATCTTTCTCTCTCATCGATGCTTCTAGCTCTCTATCCTAGTCCCTTCCTCTCTGTAAAAAATCAATAAAATATGCCCGGTCCATTGAGCCACAGGCTCACCCCACTTTAGAGATGGAAAAACGGAGGCTCGGACAGGGATAAGGCAGCCGAGGTCTCCCAGGCCGGTCTCCCCACCCTGCCCCGCCCCCCGCTGCTCTCAGCCGGCCGTACCTGCGCGATGGAAGTCGTCCTTGCTGTAGGTGAAGTCCTTCAGGAAAGTGATGCACTCCGTCTCATGGTTGTAGCGCCTGGCCGTCTCCAGCAGCATGATCTGAGGGGGCAGCAGAGAGGGGGGCAGGCAGGGGCGTGAGGAGCCCCTGGGACCCCTTTGGCCACCAGTCCCTCCTCTCCTGCCCTGGAAGGGGGCCCGATCTCACCAGGATCATCCCTGGTCCCTCTGCCCCCCTCCCCTCACTCCCCCGTTCTCCGCCACAGCAGCCTGCAGTCAGCACGCTGGACGCCCCAAGCTCTCTCCCTCCTCGTTCCAGCTCCCACAGCACCGCTCAGGACACGCTCCCCGGTGGTCAGCAGGCGCAGGGGAGGGCTTTGTGTGTTTTGTTCATTGACAGGTGCCCAGCACTTTGAATGGAGCCTGGCACACACTAGGCACTCAATCCTTATCTGTCACCATTGTTTTGGCTCAAATGTCATCAACTCCGAACAGCCTTTGTGGCACGTTCTCTCAAGTGTGTCCCGCCAGCCTCAGCCCATTTCCTTTCTCCCCTTCGCCCGTGGGAACCTCTGATGACCTTGTTTAGTATTTTGACATTCCTCCATAAGATACAGGCCCACAGCCCTAGCTGGTTTGGCTCAGTGGATAGAGCATCGGCCTGTGGACTGAAGGGTCCCGGGTTCGATTCCAGCCAAGGGCACATGCCTGGGTGGCGGGCTGGATATCCCAGTAGGGGGCATTCAGGAGGCAGCCGATCAATGATTCTCTCTCATCATTGATGTTTCTATCTCTCCCTCTTCCTTCCTCTCTGAAATCAATAAAAAAATATTTTTTAAAAAACAGCCCTAGCCGGTTTGGCTCAGTGGATAATCGGCCTGCGGACTGAAAGGTCGCGGGTTCGATTCCAGTCCAGGGCACATACCCAGGTTTCGGGCTCGATCCCCAGTGGAGGGCGTGCAGGAAGCAGCCAATCAATGATTCTCTCATCATTGATGTTTCTATCTCTCTCTCCCTCTCCCTTCCTCTCTGAAATCAATAAAAATATATTAAAAAAAAAAAAGATAGAGGCCCACAAAGGCAAGGACTAGGGGGATCTTGCTTGTCCTAAGGCTTATTTTGCAGGCAGGAGGGAAGGGAGGGCCGGCTGTTACCTCAATGGTAGACGCCTTCAAGAGGGCGATCTGGTCCTCACGGCCCAGCTGCAGGAAGCCGGGCACCTGCTTGGCAAAGTCCACGATCTCCTGGACTGAGATGATGGCCAGCTCCGTGAAGTGGGCGAAACGCTGCTGGCGGGCATCGCGGGACTGGGGGTCTGCGCCCAGAGGCCAGGGCTGGGACATGGGAGTGGGGTGGGGAGGGGGGGGAGTTATTCTCTGGACTCTTCCCAAGAACCCAAGGCCAGGGGGGCACCTTGAGGCAAAGCCTGCACCCCGGGAGCTCGTCCTCTCCCAGCCCCTGCCCTCCGGAGCCTCAGTCCCTTCCCATGCCAGGCCCACCGCCCCTCAAGGCCGCGCAAGGGGCAGTACCGTGACTTTGGGCTGGTCAGAGAAGGAGCGCTTGTTGCACTGCAGCTGGGCTGCCACCAACTGCTGGATCATCAGTTCCTGAGCAGCTGTTAACTGGACACCCTCGCCTTCCCCGGGGCCCTGGCCACCCCCGTCGGACCCTCCAGGGGAGGCCCCAGGCCCAGAGGCTGAGCCGCTGCTGACTCCGGGCGCCGAGGGGGACTGCTGCTGCTGCTGCTGCTGCTTCCGAATCTTCTTCTTCCGGATCTGCTCCTCCGAGAGGACGCCTGGGGGGAGATGCAGGCCTCAGCGGAGGCCCCAGGGCTGGGCAGCGGCCAGGCTGGCACTGCTCCCTCGCGGGCACTCACACTGCTCCCTCATCCCGGCCTCCTTGCACTTGCGCAGCCGGCACTGCTGGCACTTGCGGCGCATGAAGGCGTCCATCTGGCAGGTTCCACCGCCCCGGCAGGCATAGCGCCCGGCCCCGCCTCGGACCACACTGCGCCGGAAGAAGCCCTTGCAGCCTTCGCAACTGAGCACGTTGTAGTGGAAGCCGGAGGCCTTGTCCCCGCACACGCGGCACAGCTCGTGGCCCAGCATCTTCGGAGCCGGGCCCTTCTTGCGCTTGCGCTCTGGCTCCTCTGCGGGGTCTGGGATGACTGGGGTGGGTGGACAGAAGCCGTGAGAGAGTCACAGAAACAAACCGGCCAGAGAGACAGGCCCGTGAGCGAGCAGAGGGAGTACGGAGGGTGACCCAGGGAGATGGCGCTTCAGAGGGGCAGATGTGTATGTCAGTGAACCCCAAGAATGAATCACAGTGAGAGGTGTCCAGGAGGAGAAGAAAAAATATCAACAAGAAATCGGAGCCTCCTTGTCCTCATTTCTGATCTTTCTCTCTTCCTGGATCCCTCCCCCAGCCTCCCGTACCAACTCCCAACCGGTTCCTGGACCCCGTTCTCACCCACGCTGCAGACTGAGCCGACCCCATCACTGCCTGGGACATCAGGGTCCGGGCCCCCAGGCCACGGCTCAGGACGCTCCTCCTTTACCACGGGTTTCGAAGAGGGGGCGCTGGGCTGAGGGGGGACATTTCCTGAGAGAGGGAAGCACAGTGAGTTTCTCCGGACAAGTGTGTGACGGAGCAGTGGGCTGGGCTGGGAAGGGGCTCACTCACCAGGCAAGGGGGTATTCTGGGAAGTCGAGGTCGGGGTGGACATGGTGGGGGTCACGGAGCAGCCTGCAAAACACAGGGGGACGGAGAGCCTTGTGGGCCAGGGAAGGTCAGCCACAGGTCTTGAGGGGGCACACCTTCCTTCCAAGGTTCCCAGATTCCTCCCTTAGGGCATACAGAACCCAACCCCAGCCCCCCAGTTCTAACAGGGCCCGCCCCTTCTGCTTCAGGACAGTCCCCAGCTTGGCCTCAAGCCACGTCCTCAGCTAGATCCCGCCCGCTGTAGGCCCCCCCAACTCCAGGCTCTGCCCAGGTCCTGTCCCTTCTTACAACTAAGTTTCTTCCTTTTATCTAAATGTGTTGCTTATATTTTATTGACTTTTTACAGGGAGGAAGGGAGAGGGATAGAGAGTTAAGAAACATCCAATGAGAGAGAAACAACAATCAGCTGCCTCCTGAGAGAGAAACAACAATCAGCTGCCTCCTGCACACTCCCACTGGGTATGTGCCCCCAACCAAAGTACATGCCCTTGACCGGAATCGAACCTGGGACCCTTCAGTTCACAGGCCGATGCTCTATCCACTGAACAAACCGGTTAGGGCTCATCCCACCTATTCTTAACCATCCTACTCAGCGGAGGAAGAAAACCCATCTCTCATTCTATCTACCCCCACCTCCTCCCATTATGCTCCGCCCCCATCCTTTCCACCTCCCAGGTTGCACCCTCACTCCTCCCATCAAGTGCCTGCCAATCACTTTGCCCCGCTCCATCGGTGCCCTTCCCCCCAGACCCCGACCCCTCCCCTCCCGTGAAGCCCCGCCCATCCCGCCCACCAGGCCCCGCCCCCACACCTCTCTCCAGGTCCCGCCCCTCTCCAAACACCAGTGGGGGGCGGGGCTCATGGCTGCGCGCGAGGGTCTCGTGGGCGGTCTCTCGCGGGGTCTCCTGCTCCTGTTGCCCTGGAAACAGCCGGGGGCGACGCGAGCTACGGAAAGGAGGGCGAGAAGGAGAGAAGGGCTGAGCAGAGAAGTGCGGGGAACTCCGGGAAGCCCCGGGCTTGGGGCGCTCCCCGCATCTCCCCACACTCGGATGCACCTGCGCCTGTCCCCTTACTCTGCTTCTCTTTCTCCTCTTCTGTGTCCCCTGTACGCCACCGCCGCTCCGGTCTTCTCAAAAGTAACTTCGCCACTTCTTCCGGCAACCCCACTGTGCATCACTTCCGGCAAGGGGAGGGGAGTCGGGGATGACGGACTTCCGGTCCGCCTAGAACTAGCCAAGTCAGTTGCCCCGCAGGGGAATCGTGCACCCTTTGGAAGTTTACCCTCCGGGCAGGTCCACTAGAGGCAAAAGCGTTCCGGACTCATTCCGTCAGACGTGGCCAGAGCCAAACCTCCCCGCCAGGCGCCGAGTGTCTTTCTGGGCTCCCGGGAAAGACTTACTCGGCATATATCTCCCCAACCAGAGCTCCTTTTCGCACAGGACTGAGTTCAAGCACGTTTGTCCCTTTTTGGTTGTTCTAAGTTTTCTCAATTTGGAGGTGCTCTGATTATTAGTTTTAAATAAGTTAAATTACAAACCTTGACCCAGAATAAAAACATTTTTTAAATATCTTAGTGATAGGAAGAATTAAAATACCATCGCCTTCTTCCTAGTAAAAAAGATACAACTAATAGCTTTTAAAGAAAACTCAGAATACTTGACCAGGTAAAAGATGGAGGTTGTTCCAAAGTCTTTTCCTCCCCATGATAACCAGCTCTATATTGAGCATGTATACATTTTGTAAAAATGGGAGTGTCTGACCCATGATTTTTGTAGCTTGTTTAGTCCATCTGGCATGGCCTTGAAGCTGTGACGTTTTTCACCTGAGGATGTTACCATTAAAACGAGTGGTTAAACCCAGCTGGTGTGGCTCAGTGGTTGAACATGGACCTATGAACCAGGACAGGAGGTCAGGGTTCGAGTCCGGTCAGGCCACATGCCCAGATTGCTGGATGGATCCCTTGTGGGGGGTGTGCAGGAGGCAGCCAACCAATGATTCTCTCTCATCGATGTTTCTCTCTTTCCCTCTCCCTTCCTCTCTAAAATCAATAATAAAAAGATATATTTTTTTAAAAATACACAACAAAGTGGTTAAGGTGGGCATCAGGGGGGGCGGCTGGACCCCTGTCTGCTTTCTCGCTGTGTCATGTTAAGCTAAGCCGATTACCCTCCTTGTGCCTCCGTTTCTTCATCTGTAAATTGGGAACAAGACCTCATTGCATGGTCATTATGATTACGTGAAGTAAAAAGCACGAACCGGGCCAGGCTCAAATCAGGAGCCCAGGATGTTGAGCTATGTTTATTCTTGCGGATGTTAAAGTTGTGTTTGGCTTTTCACTATCAGAACAGTGCCACGGGCTGAAATAGACTGCAGGTGAATTGCAACAGTTTTGGAGCAAGTCGCGTTCCTCTCGGTCTCGGGGGAAATTCTTTGTATTTCTCTTTGAGGCAGGGTAGCAAGAAGCTAGGAATATTCCTTGGCAAGTGGAATGAGGAGACTGAGGCAGAGAGCTGAACCAACTGGCGGAACACTTTACAGCCAGATTCAACAGGTCGCCAGGGCCAAAAGCCTTGGGTGCCTAGCAATGGGCAAATCTGGTGCCGAACCTGGCCCCCAGGGTGGCCTTTCCTCCCCTGACATGTCCTTGGCCGTGCGGTTTTGACCCCCTGAGCTTTTCTCCATGGAGATACCAGCTCCAGGCCCCTGAAAAGCAAAAAGCGGCAAAACTAGGCCAGCAACACCAGGACCAGCTAATGACTCATCACCCCTGACACTAACCAATCAGTAGAGACCATGACCCTGAAACAATACACCTGGAGCCCTAGCTAGGTTGGCTCAGTGGATAAAGCATCGGCCTGCAGACTGAAGGGCCCCGGGTTCGATCCCAGTCAGGGGCACATGACTGGGTTGTGGGCTCAATCCCCAGTGGAGGGGGGCGGGGGCGGGAGGCAGCTGATCAATGATCCTCTCTCATCATTGATGTTTTTATCTTTCTCTTCTTCTCCCTTCCTCTCTGACATCAATAAAAAATATATTTAGCCCTAGCCGATTTGGCTCAGTGGATAGAGCGTTGGCCTGTGGACTGAAGGGCCCCTGGTTCCATCCCGGTCAGGGGCACATGCCTGGGTTGCGGGCTCAATCCCCAGTGGGGGGCATGCGGGAGGCAGCTGATCAATGATCCTCTCATTATTGATGTTTTTATTTATTTATCCCTCTCCATTCCTCTCTGAAATCAATAAAAAATAAACATATATTTAAAAAAACCACACAATACACCTGGAAAATCTGATAATATTCTGTTGCAACCCTTCCCTAAGCCCTCTCCTAACTCCCAGTCTTTAAAACCCTCAAAACTAAGAACCCAGCCTGCACTTCCCCTCCAGGGAGCACGCCCAAGCCTTTTCCTCTCCTTCTTTCCCCCCCCACAGGTGTGCATCTCCTAAATTTTAAAGCACCCCCCCAATGGGGCTTGCGACCAGAGGAGGGATGGGCAGCGGCAGCCTGCACACCCCCGCACTGGGGATCGAGCCTGCAACACAGGCATGTGTCCTGACAGGGAATCGAACTGCCACCTCCTGGTTCACAGGTCAGCGCTCAACCACTGAGCCACACCAGCCAGGCCCAAGTGCTTTTTGGAGGACGTTTATGGAAGCTGGGGACAGTGAAACGAGGAAGGGCCTAAGGATAGAAGAAGCAACAGGAGGGAGACGGGGCAGGCTGCGCTGGCTCTCTAGAAATGTCACAGAAAAGAAATGAGCCGAGGTGGGGCTGCCGTCAGCTCCCTGGAGAGTCAGAGAAAAGGGTTCAAGGATTCGCTCAGGACGAGCTGCCGCTGCCCATCGCTCCTCTGGTTGCAAGTCTCATGCAGGGGTCTAATCCTCTTTAAAATCAAGAAAAATATATTTAAAAAATAAAAAATAGCCCTGCCGGTTTGGCTCAGTGGATAGAGCGTCGGCCTGCGGACTCAAGGGTCCCAGGTTCGATTCCAGACAAGGGCATGTACCTTGGTTGCGGGCACATCCCCAGTGGGGGGTGTGCAGGAGGCAGCTGATCGATGTTTCTCTCTCATCGATGTTTCTGACTTTCTGTCCTTCTCCCTCCTCTCTGTAAAAGATCAATAAAATATATTTTTTAAAATAAAAATAAAAAATAAATAAAGTGTACAATTTTCCCGGCCCACGTGGCTCGGTGGTTGAGTGTCGACCCATGAACCAGGAGGTCATGGTTCGATTCCTGGTCAGGAAGCAACTGATCCATGATTCTCTCTCATCATTGATGTTTCTAGCTCTCTCTCCCTCTCCCTTCTTCTCTAGAATCAATGAAAACATATATTTTTTAAATTAAGTGTACAATTTGATGGTTTTTAGTATATACATGGACTTGTTGCAACCATCACCACTATTTATAACACTTTTGTCACCACTGAAAAAGGAACCCCATACCCACCAAATCAGCAGTCGCCAATCAGTGGCCGGGGGACCACTGGTGGTCCGTGAGGTACAAAGGGTTGGCGACCGCTGCACTAAATCACCCTCAATTATCCCATCCCAAGCCCTAGGCCAGGGGTGGGCAACCCCTGGCACACGTGCCAAACATGGCACGCCAGTAACTTTTGCTGGCACGCGAAACCCTCTCTTATAATCTTCCACTTACAATTTTTTTCTTAATATCGACTTTTTTATTTTTCAGATAAATTCAGTGTAGGTGCATCTTAGATAAATAAATAATTTTACATAATAAGTTATCTTAAAGACCATAGGCATGGATTGGCGAGAGAGGGGAAGAGCAATTTCTATGCCTCTGCCTTAACTCTCCCTGTGCCTTCCTAGATCCGACCAGTGTTTTGGATTCATCCACATACGCTTGTGAATCTTTGTTCTCAGTGATGAATTCTGTTAAGTCTCGTAATAGGAGTAGCCTGACGGATGAAAGTAGTAGCTCGTGCATATCTCTGAAGGTCACGAAATATAAACCTGATGTAAAATTTCTGTCATCAGTGATGCAGCAGCAAAAGTCCCACTGATAATATCAAACGGAGTCATAAAGTTTTCTGTCGGACTATCAGTGTACATGTATATATTAAAAAATAAATGTATTTTTCATCATCATATACTGTGTTTTTGTCGCTCGAATGAATTTTATTATTTCTTCAAGGTTCTTCACATATGTACACCTTAAGAGATATCAAGTAGGCGTAACATGTTCTCAGAAAATTAGGGTTGACACGCAGAAGAATTTTGAGTCAGAGATTTTGCTGTTTTTGGCACGCACTCACAAAAAGGTTGTCCACCCCTGCCCTAGGCAAACATTAATCTACTTTCTGTCTCTACGGATTTGTTTATCCTGGCAAATTCCATTTCCTATAGAGCAGCGGTTCTCAACCTGTGGGTCGCGACCCCTTTGGGGATCGAACGACCCTTTCACGGGGGTCGCCTAAGACCATCGGAAAACACACATATAATTACATATTGTTTTTGTGATGAATCACTATGCTTTCATTATGTTCAATTTGTAACAATGAAATTGGGGGTCACCACAACATGAGGAACTGTATGACAGGGTCGCGGCATTAGGAAGGTTGAGAACCACTGCTATAGATGGAATCTTAGCCTATATGCCCTTCAGTACCTGGCTTCTTTCATTTAGCATAAGGTTTTCAAAGTTTACCCATGTTGTACCATGTATTCATTTCTGTTGTGTCTGAATAGTAACTCCTTTGTCCGACTAGACCACATTTTATTTACCCATGCATCTCCTGACGGGCATTTGGTTGTTTCCATTCTTGCATATAGTACTGCTATAAACATTCAAATGCAAGTTTTTGTGTAGATATGTTTCCATTTCTCTTTGGGCACATAC